CCTCAGCCTCCCAAAGCGCTGGGATTACAGGCTGAGCCACCAAGCCCAGCTGATGCTCAATTCTTAAAGCTCGACAGCTGATAGCATATTTGACAACAAAAACTGGTAATATTTAGAAACAAATGCGATTAAATCCATGTCTGAATAAATCACGCTCTTAGATTTGGTATAAAATGTGTTCAAGCTTATTTTCAGGCCAAGTTAAATTACTTCAGAGCATCCAAAAAAGGCATGGGGAGGTGCTGCCAGCCCAGCTGGATCCCCTCGTGAGGGGTCACCAGGCTGCCTCCTCCCCTGCAGGAGTGTCAGTGCTACCCTAGGCACAGACTCTGGGTTTGGGGTCCTTCAGGAACCTTGCTGACCACTGGGCTCCACTGCCACCTTGGTGAACTCCACAAGCTTGACTGTCAAGGCTGCCCATCCCCCAGCGCCTCTCTTGGGGCCTGTCCCCAGGACAGGGAGGGGCTAAGGCCTCTGAGGGGGTGCCCTTTTGTTCCACTTACCCCTTCAAACCTGGCCACAGCAGATGTTGACAGTAACGCAGAGAATGTAACATATTCTAAACATCACTCACATCAAAGCTAAGTTCAAGGAGGTTACATCAAATCTAAGTCCAAGGACCAGACTAACTGGGCCTGCCAACCGCCTCCACAGGAGTGCACTGGTGACACAGTGGAACAGACTTGGGAGGTGGCTCTTCCTCCCAGCTGACTTTTGTCCCCAACTCCTTGAACACCCTTCAGCCCAGGATCAAGGGTCAAGAGCACACCTGACACCCCTGGACAGGTCCAGTCCATCAGGTACTGGCTGGAAAAACCCTGTAGGGAATTCAGCAGCCATCCATCCACCCCGCTCACCACGCTACACCCTGGACTCTTTCCTGTCCTGCACTCTGACATCTGAAGTCTCCACATGATGTTGAGGCCTTCTTCCAAGAGATCGGCTTGGGTCTGTTCCCTTCTCCCTTCCTTGCTGCCACGAAGCTGCTCAATGTGTGAGGCTGAGTCACCTTGGTTCCTTCCACAAACACTCAGGTCAGCGACTGCTTGCAGGCACAGAGGGGACTGCAAAAGGCACAGCAGTTAACAAAACCCGCAGACACTCACCCTCTCAGAGCCGGGTGTTAGTCCCACCAGCTTTCTGTACCCTCACCCCCTCCTCCATCAGTGCCTTCCTATCCGGACCCTCCACCGGCTGCTGAGATGCAGCCTCAGCACCGTACCGTGCACATCCTTCAGGTCCCCAAACTGCTAAATCAGCCCGGGCCTCCCTTCCCTTCGTCCAACGAACCTCGGCGCCTTTGCACCTGCTGCTCCCTCTACTGGCTGTGCCCTTCCACTAGGGTCTCAGTTGCAGTGTCTCCTCGGAAATGCCTCCCCTTTTGCCCCTTATCTTCTAGCCTGCCTCAAGCTCCTCGTTCTTTCTGGCCGCACTGCCCGCCTACCGCGCCCACCCGGCAGAGATTTGCCAGCGCAGAGGCCGCGTCTACGCAGTCACCCGCACCCCTCCCGTGGATTTTGACCGCACCCCGCACTGGCCCATCTCTCTGAGCTGTCTGCGCCCAGCGGACCACCACAGTCAGCTGCATGAGGCCGAAATACCAGGTGCGCCCCAGCTACAACCACCCTGCCGCCCTAGGCTCGGCCGGGCCAGAAGCCCAGCGTTGGACCCGCGGTGGGCCCAGTGCGCATGCGCATGGAGCCCCGCCGCACTGACGGGCGAGCTGCTCACTCGGCGCAGACCCTGCAGCCCCAGCTGGCTGCCAGTGCGCCCGCTCCAGCAATCGCGGAACTGGACCCAGGAAGTCCCAGAGACTTCTCCATGCGGGAAACGCCGTAAGCGCCCACGCGGCTTTCCACAAAAGGTCTTGGCTCTTTAACACGCCCCCGCTCGCGCCCATTGGTTGAGGGGTTTGGCGTCGTGCCCATTGGCTGAGGGGTTTGCCGTCATCACTGCACGCCGGATGACGGCGTCTTCCCGCTCCTTAGTGCTGACGACAGAGCGGCGCGGTCCTGAGACTGAGGAAAGCGGGAGGAGGTGGCGGCGGCGGGAAGATGTAAGTTGGGGCGGAATCCGACCGCATCCGAGCTTCGGGAACTACTCGCTAGACCTGGCGAGGCGCATCGTGAAGCCTACCCGCTCCTCAGGCCCGCGGTGCTGCGGCGGCCCGGCTACGCGAGGCGGGCTCCAAAGAAAAAGAGTGTGGCCTAGGGCGGGCGGAACGGGAGATGTCTAGGCCGTGGCCCGGAAGTGGTCGAGGCCTCAGCGGACGGAAGGGCGCCCCCACTTCGTTCGCTCGGTGGCGGCCCAGCCAGGCTCGTGGGACTCAGAGCAGCAGGGTGAGCGGCCTCCGCCCTTGGGGCCTCCCGCTGACTGGGAGACCCCGGCCCTCAACGCCAGGCCCTGCCCTGGAAGCCCTTGCGGCTTGGCGCCGGGACTGGGGAGTCGTGAGTGACCCGGACCCGGAGCGGCGAGGTCGGCGTGTCGGGCCCATGCCGGCGGGCGCGGAGTTTCTTTGTGGGATGCCCTGGAAGGCAGGCTGATCCTCCCTCCGGGGTCATTAATTCAAACATTCACTCCTCGAACGTTTACCGGGCTCCTGTGTGCCGTTCTCGGCGCTGGACCTCGGGGATACGGCCCAGTGTGGACCGAGCTCAATTTCACGGGTTATCCCAGAAGGGTGGATGCGGGAAGATTGAGGTGATGGAGGAGAGACGCGGAGTAGGCGGTTTCTATCTTTGTTAGGTATTTCCTGCCTGAAGTGTACTTTTAAGCTGGGAATCTCTGAAGATTTGTGCTGAAATGCCATTTCCTCGAGATTTAACTAATTGTTTTCTCCTCTCTTTGGCTGTTGCACACGCACCTTTCCGGAGGATGCGGGAGGTAACCAAGGTCCTAAACTAGTACCTGAACTTGTGAACAGAGAACCTCAGCCTATGGTTTCTAGCTCTCGACCACACTCAGCAAAGCGTTCACTTATTCTGTGGTTCTTAATTGCTAGAGTGCTTAACCGGTGGTGCTTGACTTCTCAAAGTACATTCGGGCAGATCTTTAAGACTTGGGGGGGGGGCTGGAAACTGCGTGTGTGACCCCCCCACTCTAGTTCTGCGCTGCCAGTTGAGCATATGAAATACAGCTAACTAAAACTCTGATGTTAAAATGCATACAAATTTAGAGAATTTACTGTGAATAAAAGTAAACCTTTATTAGTAAGTTTTTATATTGATTGTATGTTGGAAAGATAATATTTGGATGTTTGTGTCAGATGTTAAAAATTAACTTCACCTGTTTTTGTGATTTGGCTCCAGGGGAATTTCAGGTTATTCTTGGAGCTCATGACCTATTTTTATTGGACATTGCTGCTCTAGGTGATCCCCCGGAGTGTGGGTCCAGGAATCCCTGTTAACATTCAGAAATTCTGTGTTAATTTGAAGACAGTATGGGGAAGGAATCTCCATATGTGGACAAACAACCCTTCTAATATTAGCTAACATTTATTGAGCCTTATGATTAATGGCCTTGATAATTAAAGGTTGGAACTGTAATTGTCACAGTATTGATGATGAGAAACCTCAGAAACAATAAGTGACCTGTCAAAAGATACACAGCAGACCCTCAACTCAAACCCAGGCATACTGACTCCAGACTCTTAACATCTGAATTATATTCACTGATTATCCAAGGACACTAATTTGATCAGGTACTGCCTGCTGGGTGTTTATAAAACATACCTTATGTTTTAAGGCAAAACATGTTGAAAAGATTTTACAGCCCTGAAAAAGAGCAGCGAGGGTGATAGTCTGCTCTCTTTCCCTCTCATTTGACTGTCCAAAACTGGGTGCTCTTTCTTAGGTCAGAACGTGCATTCAGCAGCAGGGCATACCACATTGGCAGGGATACCTCTGCACATGTAAACCCAGGACCCAGCTGCTGTGCTGTGCCCTCCTTATTTACAGGCTGTTAGAGAAGGAGAGGCCTGTCCTGAGATCTTTGCTTGCAACTCATGCACATTGTACAAAGCTCATTGGAAACACTGAGGGTGGCAATCTCTGGAAAACAGGGCATATAACTAACAGTCACTTCTTTTTGAGTAATTTGTTACCATTATCTGAGCAGATGCTGTATGCTAAATCATTACATGACATATAGTATTACCCAATTTCAGTGTCTCTCCCCCGCCCCAGCATCTTATTTCTGAAAAATTAAGAACACAGGAAGGTTGAAAGAATTGCAGTTAATACCCACATAACCACCATCTAGATTCTGTAAGTCACATTTCTGCTGTATTTGTTTTATCATGTTTCTGGCCGCCACCAATCTTTGTTGTGTCTCAAAGTAGATTACAGATTTGTGTGAACTTTCCCCTACACACTCAATATGTACATTATTAACTAAAGCACAGTATTTTCAATAACTACTTTTTAAATTATTATTTTAGTGTTCATGTGGTACATTTCATCTATTTGCACTTGGGTATTAAATGTTTTGATGCTGATACCGGTCATTTTTGAAATGATTTTTACTTCCATTTTCCAATGTATCCTAAAAGGAAACTACTGTAATAAAACAAGGTCTAATCCTATCTTGGGAGCCACACTCAAACTAGATTTTTCTCTGTTCTGCATGCAAGTGTGGTGCTGTATTATTTTGAAAGGATTATAGAGAGCTCATTGCCAAGCTTACAAGCCAAAGCTGATATTGGACAACCTATAAGATAATAGTGGTAGGTGCCACCACCTGATCCACCTTTTTTAAGAAAAAGACAAGCTGAGGTGACAATTCTACCTGTACCTCCTGTGAGGGTAGAGACTCCTCCATGAGGAAATGGTGACTGTCCCCTACTTGTTCCTGGCTGTGTGGGTGCTTGTTGCTTATTGTGTTCCCTTGCTGCTTTCTTGTGTACTCAGCTTTTTACTGCAAAGTAGATTTGTTGCCTTGCCAATTCGTTCACTCTTTAAATCCTTTTATCTTGTTATTAGGCTGCTCTTTGGCGTAAATTGCAATCGATTAGGGATCGTTTCTCAGAATCAAGTTAGAAGTGAGAGTTCAGATAAGTGAGGCCGCCATTGCTGCTTTGAACACCTCAGAAGGGGAGAATGGATTTATCAGGAGTGAAAAAGAAGAGCTTGCTAGGAGTCAAAGAAAATAATAAAAAGTCCAGCACTAGGTAATCCTTCTGTAAGATTTTTCTAGTGCTATTTTGGGGGTGCTCATTGCCAGGGACCCTCAGAAAGGGGAAGACAGAATGTTCTGCATTCTGCAGTGTTTCCTAATATCACTGCTCTGGCCCTTCTGGATCCCCTCTTTTGGGTTGTGCTATTTCAGGGTTTGGTCAAAGGAGCATGTAATCTCATATTCTTCCTCACCATCCAGGGCTCCGTCTCCTACCAAACGCAAAGACCGCTCTGATGAGAAGTCCAAGGATCGCTCTAAAGATAAAGGGGCCACCAAGGAGTCGAGTGAGAAGGATCGCGGCAGGGATAAAACTCGAAAGAGGCGCAGCGCTTCCAGTGGTAGCAGCAGCACCAGGTGGGGCAGGCTGGCCTGAACCCTAGAGAGGACCCACTGTAGCAGCCACCCCCTCCTTCCCGCAGGGCTCTGTTTTAGAGAAAACCCTTGGATTGTTAGTAGAGACCCTAATTTATGGCAGACAGGTTTGGGGTTTGCTCTTATTATATGTAGAAAATAGTGTTTGGGTTTTTGTCCTTTACAGATACAGGGAATATGACGTTTGGGAACTCAGAATTGTCATTGGATTGTCCTAGTCTAGAGCTTATTTTTTTGCAGGTGAAAGCCAGCCAGAGTCTGTCAGCAGCCACTTTCCCAAGCTAAGTTGGTGGTTCTGACTTGTGCTAGACCCATGTACCTCCCGGGGGGGAGACTTCTGTGTAGGCAGAATATAGCCTATCCTCTCTGTCCTGTCACCTGCAACAGTGTGACACCTAGGGCTCTGGCTTGGGAGCAGGGGGTGGCTTCCCCACTGGGGAATGTAGTGAATTTGAAGATACCAGGAGAGCAGTGTCCTTGGGGGGTACAGGGTACATGCCACGCTTGGAGGAGGCAGATGTGCTGTACAACTTGCCTCTTGTTGTGACCCCCCCCATCTTGCCCTCAGGTCTCGGTCCAGCTCAACTTCCAGTTCAGGCTCCAGCACCAGTACCGGCTCAAGCAGCGGCTCCAGCTCCTCCTCAGCTTCAAGCCGCTCAGGGAGTTCCAGCACCTCCCGCAGCTCCAGCTCCAGCAGCTCCTCCGGCTCTCCAAGTCCTTCTCGGCGCAGACATGACAACAGGCGGCGTTCCCGTTCCAAGTGAGTGCCCACACCTGGGAACTAAAGTTTGCAGGCTGGGAGCTGTAAATGTGCCGTGCCTGTTGTCCAAGTAAAACAAAAGAGTCTTTCTGTTTTTATAGGGTTTCTGAGACAGGGAAATAGTCACACAGACTGGGTGCAGTTACCCACGCCTATAATCCCAACACTTTGTGAGACCGAGGCAGGAAAATCACTTGAGACTAGCCTGGGAAATATAGCAAGACCTTGTCGCTATAAAAAAAATTAGCCAGGCATAGTGGTGCACACTGTAATCCCAACTGCACAGGAAGTTGAGGCAGAAGGATCTCCTGAGCCCAGGAGGTCAAGGCTGGGGTGAACTGTGATCACACCACAGCTCTCCAGCCTGGGTGACAGTGAGACCCTGTCTCAAAAAAAGCAGATAATATCCCACTAAAAAAAAAATCTAGTCCAGTACATTTTGACTTAATGGAAATTTGTTGTTTCTGGTGTTTTGTTTTTTTCAATCAGATCCAAGCCACCTAAAAGAGATGAAAAGGAGAGGAAAAGGCGGAGCCCTTCCCCTAAACCCACCAAAGTGCATATTGGGAGGCTGACCAGGAATGTAACCAAGGTGAGGATCATAGGTCCATAAGGTGGGCAAAGGAGTGTGGGCAAGTAGGCCTTTGCCAGCGATTGAACTTAGCCTTTTGGACGACGAGTGTGGTGGTATATGGTTTGAGTAACACACTGATCAATTCCTATTAATGGACTGTTATTATATATACATCTCAGAGATTTACACCAAATTAGCACTGGTTCTCAAGAGATGGTAGAATGTTTTTATTCTACCAAGGTTCTGGTCGTTCTGTGATGAATCCTCTTTGACTTGTAAACAAGAAACTGGTAGGCGAGTCTTAGAGTGGCCCTTCTTTCTCTCCAGGATCACATCATGGAAATATTTTCTACCTATGGGAAAATTAAAATGATTGACATGCCCGTAGAAAGGATGCATCCCCATCTATCCAAAGGCTATGCATATGTGGAGTTTGAGAATCCAGACGAGGCCGAGAAGGCGCTGAAGCACATGGATGGAGGTGGGTGACCTGCCAGCACACGTCTGACCTCTCATCTCTGTCCTCTCAGAGACTCACTACCCCTGGGGACCCTCAGGACTGACTTCCAAACCTGGCTGCATTTCAACCCTTTTAGGATTCCAGTTCCTACTCCATGGGTGTGTGTTTACCAAAAATATGTTTTGGGAACACTAGTCTTGGGGGAAATCAGAAAATATGCATATATTAGCATTTTAAGAAATTTTCAATCCCTTAAAAGCTTAAGGATCAAATGAAGGTTTCTTATAAGAATATATTTGACTTTTTATATGAGAGTCATTGTTTCTGAGAGTTAGACATTTGCCATCATTTAGGCATGTTTAGTATTTTCCTCAGTTGATTTAATGAATTTATAAAATCTACCTATTTCTGAAACATTTGTATCTTTTAACTGTTGATAACATTTATAGCTGTTTCTATGTGGCAGAATGGTTTTAAAAGCATGTGAACCCTCGTGAATGGTTTTGGACAAGATTTTCATTTTGTCCTCTTCTAGTCAGCATTTTAAAGAATTATGGAGTTGTCTCTGCTCAGCTCCCCACTGCTCCAGCCAAGGCAACTGGGGGTGAGAACAGGCAGCCATCTGCTCTCTGGGCTGCCAGGTCTGTGTGGCAAGGAGAGTCTGGATGTCCCAGAACCTCCACGTCCTCTGAGGCCCTGTTATAAACTTTATAATAGCTTTGCCTTTTATATATACATATAATTGCTTTTGAGCTCTGAAATGCATTGGGAGCTTAGCACAAAGCATGGCTGTGTCACTCACCTCGGCTCTCGGCCATGTGAACCACACCTTTACTTTAGAGTCTGCCAATCATCTGGTATTTGACAGTCTGAGTACTTGCTAATAAACTATAAAAACTCTGGAGACATGGGTACATTCAGAATGGGCATGATTATAAACATGCCAGCTTCTCAAGATTCTGGTAGGGTTTTTTTGTGTCCTCCATACTTGTTCTGCATATCATTGAATGGTGTAAGTCTGAACTGTCTTGAGGAGATTGGAAGGAGTTGACCATTATTGGCAGCTAGCCAGCAAATGGATTTGTGTTTGTTGTTGTATAGTCAGTGCCATGAAATCCCTTGTTTGGGCTACCTTAGCCTGAGTCTACTTAAGTTGAGCCTCTTAACTATGTTCTGGACACATGTCCACATGCCTGAGTAAGCCCCCTGCTACCTTTGAAGTTACCTTGAGGATAGGAGTTGAAAAAAAAGAAGGGCTCTTGTACCTTATAACTTTCTTCTGGGACACAGAAGGGGCAGAGCTTGAGCTGTTGATACTCTCAGCTGTGGGCTGACCTCTTGAGGTCAGGGTATATGCTCCCCTGGGGTTCCCAGGTCTATGCTGCCTCCCCTCCTTTCCCGTGCTGTTTCCTACACATGCCTGGCATGTAAGTACTGTCTATATGCAAAGTCCCATCTGAGGCCTCTTATTCAGACTCTTAACACAAAGTCCCCAACATCTGAAACTTCTTTCGTGCTTTTCCCACTGGAGCCTCACCTCTTGGTAGATGGACGCTTTGATTCATCACCATGTTCTGGTGATTTTACTTCAGCTTATCCCCTGAATTCTTCCATTTCCCTCTTGTTTCATTTGATGTCAATTCATGCCCATCATGGTGCCACAGAAGCTTACTGATAGGTCTCCTCCTTCTCTGGGCCCCAGCTTCCCATTCTTGAAAGGGAAGCTCAAATGCTGATGCTCCCTTCATGGGCCCGTGGGAAGAGCCCCTGTCTTGTTCACCTGTCATCACTCCCCACTCTGTTTCCTTCTATGGCCAGTGTTTTGGGTCTTCACTTGAGTGGCATTTCCTCTGGGAGTCTGTCTTAACATGGAGATTAGCATCCCCTCTTAGGTTACATGCCCTCTTGTGGTTTTTTCCTGGTAAAACTTAAGTTGTGATGTGGCCATTTCTGTAATTATTTTATGTTTATCCTTGTCCCTCCCAGACTTGTCATGTTTACTGTGGCATGCCCATAGATGTTTGTTAGGTATTTTATGACTTGGTCCTTTTTTTCAACAGGGCAAATCGATGGCCAGGAGATCACTGCCACAGCTGTGCTGGCCCCCTGGCCTAGACCACCTCCCAGGCGATTCAGCCCTCCCAGGAGAATGCTACCGCCACCTCCAATGTGGCGCAGGTCTCCCCCACGAATGAGGAGAAGGTAAGCAATCTGTAGTTGCACTATGGACTGAGCAAGCCACACAGCTCATGTGACTGCAATGACTCTGGGACCCTTAATTCAGCCCTGCCTGCCCTATCCCACTATGTAGGGTGAGGGGTTGCAGAGAGTAGGTGGCCCTTCAGAGCCTGCTGGGGAAAGCAAGAGGGCCGTGGCTGCAGCTAGTGACTGGCAGAAGAGGCCCTAGAGTTGGCCAGTATTGCTTTGTGGGTCCAAGCAGTGATGTGGTGTGGCCAGGTACGGGCCCACTCCCCTCCTGGCTAAGAAAATAGTAAGGGTTAGGGGAGGAAGGAGGAGGTTTAGTGTCAGAGTAGTGGAACAGGATGATCCCCTTGGCAGAGGCCTCAGTTGGATCTTCCTGCCAGTGGTGTTGAGGTGCACCTTCCAGTCCTCAGGGGAGAGGAGGAAAGCCTGGGCCTGTGCCTGTGGTTCCAAAACACTCCTTCCTAGGAGCCCCAGGCAGTCACATCCGAAGGGACCTGTCCTAACTTCTAGTGTTGGGAAGTAAACTATAGAGAGATAACTGTTCCAGGAAGAAAGCAGCTTGCCCTCCGCCCGAGATACCTGATGTGGTTTCTCCTCTTCCTGCAGGTCTCGCTCCCCCAGGCGCCGGTCTCCTGTGCGCCGGCGATCCCGCTCCCCTGGCCGTCGCCGCCACAGGAGCCGTTCCAGCTCCAACTCCTCCCGATAAGCAGGCCTTGAAGCTCGTGCCCCGTGACTGACAGCCCACCCAGCTCAGTTGTGTCACTTTTCTAGCCAAAGGAGGATCAGTAGGAAAGGAAATCCCTCACCTGGGCAGGCTTCAAGGCAGCTGTTGAATATCTCCTCTGCTGGCCAGGCTCTCGCTGTAGAAGTGCTATTGGTTGGGTTGTGCCTGTCCAGATGCCTTCCGGTGTTGTGGTTAAAAAGCTCACCTGTTTCCATTTTCTGAGAGTCAGTTCAGTGACAAAGCCACCAGGGACAAGCAAGGCTGTGGGGAGGGGTGCAGTCGGTCAGTCTGGCTGTACCTTGTTGTGCTATGCAGTACCCTTCAGAAAGGGAGCCAGGCTTGAAGGGAGCCAGGCTTCAGTGCAGCCACCGGTCCTGCTCAGCCTAGTCTTCTGCTCCCTTGCTTCAGTCTTCTGGTGACCTCGTGGGTCCAGCACCCCTGAAGAGCCTCTCACTTTATAGTAGTTGCTGTAAATGGTTCTGTTGACGCACACACCCACACCCCTCAGCTTCCTTACTCTGAAATTGTTGAGCGAGGCGAGAGCCATCTCTGCAGGGTCATCACAGGGCTCCCTGTTGCACCTGCCATCTGTGGTGAGCTTGCAGGTTACCTTGACAACGTGTACATTGCTTTTTGGGGGCTTTTCTTGTACAGTCAGTACTATAAAATTTGTTTTGTTTTGTAACTTTGTAGCATTTTAGATAATATTGTGTTTGTACTTTGTTGTGTAGAGTGAAAGAATTGTGTTGAATAAATGTAGGATTGGAATGCAGATTGAGTACTGGGTTCACTGCCTCTTTCCTGTTCTTGAGTCCCCAGAACAGTTTGTTACTCCTGATCCAGTGACACCTCCAGGCATTCGGCCAGAAGAACTTAGGGTTCGTGTGCCCTGAGTGTTAGGCTGCTCCTGTAGTGGGCAAATGAAAGAATGTTTTTAATCACTTTAGCTTCTCAGAAAATTCAAATTCCTCCTGGACCTGTTTCTGACCAGAAACATGAATTTTATTTGCTGCTACATACACACACGGTGCCCAAAAATGTATACACAATTTAAGCAATGTTATGTACTGCTTTTTGAAGTTGAATTGAATTATGGTAGCAATGCGTGATATGCCATTTGCTCAAAAGATGGCATTAATCAAATGAATGCTAACATCACCATGAGACAGGTAGGACAGTCAAAGAAAATGGCAGAAGCATGGTTGTCGTTTGAGGAAGGCAAGACCATTTCGAAGTGGTATTTGAAATTGGAGAGCATTATGGAAGCACGACTGGTGGCATGAGTATTCAACAGAACCTTCAGCACGCCTGACAACACACATGGTCCTGTGTGTGATGTGCACAAGGGGGAAGATCCGGGAGGACTTGCTAGTTTGCTGTAATCAGAAGCATCTGGATGCTGTTGGTAACCTTGTAATTGCAGAAGTCAAGAGTGACTTGTATTCATCATTTGTTCCTGGTATATATTGAGTATTACGGTGTTAATACAGTTTTTTCCTATCTTAAAGTGTGTTTACTTTTTTTGGCACCCTCTGTGTGTATATAAAATATATAAATTTATTGATGTATAACTTTCTTTTTTTGAGTTGGAGTCTCACTCCGTCGCCCAGGCTGGAGTGCAGTGGCACGTTCACAGCCACCCCAGAGTGTTGACCTGCTGTGCTCAGGCAGTCCTTCCATCTCAGTCTTCCAAGTAGCCAGAACTATAAACATGTGCTACCACACCCAGCTAATTTTTTTATTTTTATTTTTTAGAAAGCAGGATTTATTGAGGAGACTGAATGGCTCCCACAGCGGGAGGGGACCTGAAGGGGTTGCCCTAATTTTTTTATTTATTGTAGAAATGAGGTCTTACCAAGTTGTCCAGGCTGCTCCCAAACCTGTAGCCTCAGGCAATCTCACCTTGGCCTCCCAAAGTGCGGAAATTTCAGGCTTGAACCACCTCACCTGGCCAGTTTTTTTTTGTTTTTTGTTTTTTTGAAGAGACAGAGTCTCGCTATCACCCAGACTGGAGTGCAGTGGTGTGATAATTCACTGCAGCCTTCAACTTATGGGATCAAATGATCCTTCGGTCTCAGCCTTCTGAGTAGTTGAGACTACAGACGCTGGCTGCCACCACCACACCTGGCTGATTTTTATTTTGTTTTTAGAGACAGTCTGACCATACTGCCTGAGTTGCAGGGATTATAGGCACATGCCACCATGCTAGGCTTATTATATTAGGTAGTTATTTTTCTACCTCAGTGAGTTTTGGACCAGGGACAGTGGCTCATGCCTTTAATCTCAGCACTTGGGGAAGCAGGAGGGTTGCTTGAGCCCAGGAGTTCAAGATCAGACTGGACAACATAGCAAGACCTAATCTCTATAAAAATAAATGAGTTTTGGCCACAGGGAAGAATTGGAAATACTTAAACTGATAAAGAATAAAGTTGGAACTGCTTCATGCTGTGTTGAGCTGTTACTGTGTTCATGCTGTGTTGAGCTGTTACTGCCCCAGAGGGTCCAAACAAGGCACCACACTAGACAGTACGAAGACCTGCCTACCCTCCCCGCCTCATTGCCCTGCCTGGTCAGGTAATAACCTTGTTCTTATCCTTTGGGGGTATTTCTCTATGCAGATAGAAACAGTGTTTAAGAAGTGCCACTGCAGTCCTGCAGCAGTGAGGGTGCCATGGAAGGTGCTGTCCAGTTTTTGTGTACGTGCCTTCTGTGGACAAGATGAGTGGTCTGTTATCAAACACCTAAATGACAGAAGGCAGGACTCCCCTCACGGCCCCCTCTTGTGTGGTGTTTAGTGCTCTTGTCTGATGGCTTTCCCTGCTCAGATGCTCCCACAGCGGAGTCCAGCCAGGAGCTTACCAAGGCCCCTCCTTATCACTTAAGCTTTCAGTTCATGTAAGCACCACCTGCCTTCGTGGTTTTTGATCCTTGGTCGGTGGACAGAACTGGCTGGGCCGAGTGCTCGGCGGTGGGTGGGGACAGTAGAGGGGAATACGTGCCCTGCTGGCCACCGCGTTATGACTGCTTTTGCAAAGGGGCCGCACCCTGAGCGTTTCCCGCAGCGAGCATTGCCTGGAGGGGCCTACCCCAGGCCTCCCTGCCGGGCGACCCTAACCCCAGGGCCCACTGCCCTGCCGCGGGAGCGCCAGGCCGGGCCTCAGCGGCGCCCAGCGCCCACTGCGCCCGTCGAGCCCAGTGGGCGGGGCTGCTTTAGCCGGG